CTCTGAGTTTTGAACCACCACCATGATTTTGGTTATTAATATATAAAAACGTTCATGTAGAATTTGTGTTATAATTTATTCTCATACAGAAATGGTACAGATGTGCCATAACCCTTTCTTTTGTTTTAAAGTACCTATGAATAAATTGGGCAAAAACTGTTGTTGTAGACTGTTTGATGTTTGCAAGCACTTTAAAAAAGAAACTCAATTGAATTTTAGCCTAATTCTTAGGAGTAAACTATAAGTTTGAATGAAAAAGTCAGTTTAATTGGTCTTGTTGATATCACTGGTGTTGTGATTTTGTAATGGTAGTAATAATCATAGTTGTTATATTTGGAAAGTGTGTGTTATTAAATAAAGATTATTAGGAATCAAACTGATGTATAATTCATCAATCCAAATCACTTTTCTTTTTCATTGAGCGTAAAATGTAAAAGTGATGAAGTAATCAAGGAACATTACTGACTCGAGTACTGTCAGTGAACAGTTTCTGTTTAAATATTATTAATGTATTTTTATTCCAGTTTCCTGTTGTAATTAAAAAAAATCCTGGTCTTGGATTCAGCATTAGTGGTGGTCTTGGGTTGACATCTCCTCTAGACAAACGAGATAATGTAAGTTGAGTTAAACATTGATAACCATGTATTCTTATTAATAAGCCAGACTTCTTCCAGTTTTCAAAATCCTGTCAACCTGAAGCTGTGACATGGCCCTCCCTGCCAGGATAGCAGTTTAATATATGCTTCATACAGATGACTTCTGCGTTGTTGTGCCATGTAGTCTGGTAGAAGTTTATCGACATTTCATAGGCAGCAACCACCTCTGAAACATTGATATACTTGTATGTAAGATTTGGGGTTTTCACAGCGGTGAACATGAAGATTTCCGTCTTCTGGGTTGTTGCGCTGTGTAGACTGGTCGATGTTTTCCAACGTTTCTGAGGTCATACTGCTTCCGTCATCAGGGCGATGAGTCTAAGGATTTCTGTCATCTGGGTTGTTGCGCTGTGTAGTCTGATCGATGTTAACCAACGTTTCAGAGGTTATACTGCCTCCGTCATCGTCCTGTTATTTGTTATTGTTTTAGACAATGCAGACTAAAATTAAAACTAAAGTAAGTGAAGGTTTGACATCTCTGTTGTAGGAAGGAATATTTGTCACAAAAGTTCATCCAAGTGGACCTGCTAGTAGCTGCCTTCAGCCAGGAGACAAAATTTTGGAAGTGGATGGGACAGATTTCACAAAGGTGGAGCATGACCAGGCAGTTGGTATTCTGAAGCAGACTAGCAACATTGTCAATATGATGATTTCTCGCCAACAGTAGAATTGAATATGTGGGTAATTATATAGAAATTGTTCTCAGCTAACAATATAATAAGTAGTTTTGCAGATATGAGCATTTTAGATTGTGGAGTAGAAAATTATCAAATTATTTTTGTAGTGGTATCAGTGCACATAGATGTCAGTATAGTCTATACCCTTGTGTGCTGTTCCCCACTATGCTAACATTTCAACGTTCATTGCAGCCAGTTTTTGCTGGTGAGTAAAAATTGGAAGATAAGTTATTTTTTCTGTGAAATGGTTATATGATGCAGTGTTCAATTTTTCTCCATGATTTGCATTTAATTTGGGTTGTCGTAGCTTACATATTTTAGAAAAGTTATTCTGAATAATGTTACACATGTGACAGATACATTTGCTTCTTTATAAGGCAGTTTCATGAAAATTCCCAAAGTTGATTTTTTCATCTCTTAAAAGTAAGGTTTATTTATTTATTTACTTTTCCTGTTGTTTTTTTATTACAAGCTGGGTGTGATGCATATTTGTCAAAGTTCCTATGTGTTACACACATCTCATGGTTAAGTTGCACAGGTTGTAATAAACAGGATCATGAATAAAATTTGAATACTTAGAGTAGCAACAGTTCATATCTGATATGAAGGCTGCACATAGAATATTATCAAACTGTGTTTTGTATTTAGAAACCCAAAAATTCATCACTGTTACAATAGACATCTGCCATAAGTCAATTCTGAACATCTGTAGTTTAGTCAAACACCCCTACAACATACTATCTTAAGTGCCATTATTCTTTATTGCGCAGAAGAAAGTGATTTAAATCCCTGTACTACAGCGCTACCAGCCAAATTTTAACTCCAAGCTGAACAGTGTAGCAGTATAGTAGTGTAATGCATGACCACCTGCACTGGGTTCGATCCCCATCAGGACTCCAAACGACCTACATGGCATGTAGCGGGACGGCTTTACTTTACTTTTTTACTCCTTCGAAGCCAAATTTTATGCAGTCAAAATTTTAATTAAATCCTTTTACAAGCACCATGCTAGTACCTAAATATTCAGATACATATAAATAGTTAAATCCTTTTACAAGCACCATGCTAGTAGCTAAATATTCAGATACATATAAATAGAATAAGGCCAAGAAAATAATGTGCCAAAAGCATGATGAAACTGGTAAGAAGCAGTGGTTCAGTAGCATAAATAATATATATTACTGGTATGTAGCAACACTGGAATACAGACAAAGAGAACTCCTGTATTTTCACTGCCCAAATCAGATACATGCAAAATACAAAAGTAATTAAACAGAAAGATGTTTCCTAGCAGAAAAATAATGCATTTGTATAAGTCTTAAATGAAACATTGATTGGTGTTACTAAAATTAGGTATCTTCTTTGGGACAACAGTATATATTATGTAGTGATAGTCTGACATAGTCAGAATTTTTATTCTCAGCTGTGAAAGGATAAGTTTAAATGATTATTTTGGAGTTCAGTATTGATTTGTGTTGCAGTAGAGCCACATTGAATTTGTATTATCTCGATATACGAGTATGTTTATACAAGAATAGTTTTTAATGACGTCTATAGGTTGTCCTTTTGCAAAAGTGCTTGAATTTAATGGAATTTATTATATATGATCTCTAGCTCTATTTTTATTCCACTTATTGATTATAATGCAGTGAAGTCAATTTAACAAGCTAAAAAGACTTGAAAGAGACTATGTATATGGTGTTAATGCATCCTGCTTTAAGTCAAAGGCAGTGAGAGCTGTTATCACTAGGTGATTCTACATTGAAATAGAAAAATGTTATATTGCATTTAAATTAGTATATTACTTAAATGCTAGTGTCTGTAATTAAAATATTTTTTTTGTTACCTTGCAAAGTTAATATATTATATCCTGGCTTTATCTAATGAGATATCAAGTGATTGATGAAATGTTGTGGAAGTAGGTGCTGTACTAAGATTTAATTTCATAATTATGAGAATATTCTCATATTATATTTTGAACGAAGTGTGATAAATTAATTGTACATGCAACATGCCATGTACATCTTGTGCTGCACCGTTCTTACACACGTTATGTAAGAATTTTGGTTGTGATAATGTAATTAATAAAATCACTTCTCATAAATTAATGCCATGTATTTGTAAGGTTTTGGTTATTGGACAAATGCAGCAATCTTTATCTCTGTTTGTGTTCTATTATATTCAGTTATTTTTTATCAAATTAACATAGATGCAGAAAATGTATAATGTAATTATCAAACTAGAACGAGACTACCAGAAGATAACTGACTGTTTTAGAGACTTAATATATTAAAACTAGAGTAACAATATTACCACAAAAATAAACTCAAAGAATAATTTAGCAGTGTTGGTGAGATTTAAGGTTCTCACAGCAATGATTATGAAGACGACTGTCTTCTGGAATATTGTGCCGTGTAATGTGGTAGAAAATTACAGACATTTCATAAGTGCTTACTGCCTCTATTATCGGGACAATAAGTTAGTGTTTGACTCCTTGGTTGTAACCCCATATAAACTTGTAGGTAGATATCAGTATGAGAACTGGAATATGCCTACGTGATGTTACAACCCAGAAGACCAACATTAACATGAAGATGGCTGTCTCTGGGCTGTAGCGCTGTGTACTCTGTTAGAAGATTGCCAACATTTCAGAGGTAAACTTTTACCAGACTGTGTGGTACTACAACCCAGAAGGCAGCCAACATCGTCATCACCACCATGACAACCTCAAATCCTGTTAAATATTTACATCTTCACTGATATGAGAAACTCGGATCTCAATAACGTACACTATTCTGTTCAAGTAACACAAGCAGAGTGGAAGATGTAATTTCGTATTTTAAGGTGGCTATTTTAATTGTGTGTAGCGTTAACAGACTGGAACATAGATACAATTTAATTAAATAGTGTGAAAGTAATCAAGAATGGTAGGTGTTAATTGTATGATTTTCTTATCTACTGTTTGTATAATTTGTATGTACATACTTTTCACTTAGTGTACTTTCCAGTCTGCAGTGCTAGTTTAAACGAAAATAGAATTTTTAAGTTTCTGATTTGCTAACATACGTACAGTTCTTGTATCATTTGTATTTCTTGTAAATGAAAAGGCTTTAAAAATGTAATTTTAGCGCCACAGATTTGGGTGGTTTACTTTAACCATCTTGGATAACTGACATGCTTTAACAGTAAACAGTGATAGATGTGTAAGGTAAAATACTTTGTCTGTGGATACGTTTTAACCTTAACCCAGATATTCATAAATAATTTTTATGGATTGATGAAAGGATATTCAGTTTTGGTTGTGTAAAGTTAGAACATTAAAGTAAGGAAAATATTAAATGTAGAAAATTTCAAAGAGGGATTATTAGATTAGAAGCACAGGATTTTGACAGTAAATGAAGATTCCACTAGGTTTGCTTCAGTTCTATGCAAAGATGTCTGAAAAATAACTGTCAGAATTATTTGTAAATTTCAGGCCTGTTTTGTGAAATATCTGGGTTCATGTTCAGCTGTGTACTTTGATTGACTTTGTTGCATGTGCACTGCCAGTGTACGTTTAAGTTGCCATATATGTTAGATTTTATGTTGTAAGTAAAGTTGTAGCTGCTGCAGAGATTGGTAGCTAAGTTGCGTTGTTTGCGACTGGTTCTTTGCCATAACATGGTTGTGTGCACGTATATGTATATTTTTTTAAACATTACATTTCAAACTTTATAAATCTGCATCACATTTTGTTGGCAGCTAATCAAGTATTTTTACAACTATACATGAAATGTGGTTCTTTTAAAGATTCTTTACACATATATAGTTCTTATAATTGTAACTAATTCCATTAGTTGACTGTATTTTTGATATTATTCAAATTCTGGAAGCAGATAATTTTTCTTGTGGGTGAAAACACTCAGACTGGTAATGTCACATTTCAATGGAACATATTTTTGTTTTTCGTGATCTAAGGAATAACTTGAAAACCATGTGGAAAGAATTATTATTTGTGAGCAATTTGTCAACTGTCATGTTAAATGCAGAGTTTGGCCTCGACTTGAATTTTTGTATGGTTCCCTTTCTTAACTCATATATGTTGGAAATTACTAACGTGATAAATGTATGTGGGCATGTCAAAATATGTTTGTAATTTTTAACAGAAACAAGTGTTGTGATTAATTAATTTTTTACTCAATAGGTTTGAAATTTTCTTTGGATTTTGCTTCAAGATAGCATTGAGAATGAGGCAGTGCAGAAACCCATCAACAGTTTATGTGATCATTCACTAAGATTACTGAAATACGTAGAAAATAATCATCTGTCTTTCTGGTATGAGTTTTTCCACAATGGAATATCATAAAATGTGCCGAAGAACCAGATATTCAGCGTGTCAGTATGGTCTCACTAGTCTCAGGTCCAGAAAGGAATTGAGATTTTATTTTCTAAGCTCATTTCATGTTGCACTATGATTTTAAAAGAAGTTGTTTACAAATATAATCAACTCTGAGTTGTCTGAATAATGGGATAGCAATGGCATTATAAAATACACACCATCCTTGCAATCTTGTGGTATAGCAAATATAAGAAAATTATTTTAATACTAAAAAATGCTTCAGAATTTTCCTTTGCAGCACAAACCAAATTTTATTTTTAAATGTAACACGGACTTTATCTACCATTGCTAAACACATTATGAAACACAGATTAACTAATGAACATACTTTATTTCCAAACTTTTCATATTTTAAAGTTTTTTTTCTTTTCCCCACAATTACGACAATATGTTACCCTGTGATTGAGAGTAATTTGTGTGACAGGCAAACTTATCCTTTGCATATATGAGCTTAATTTTTAATGCAGTGAGGACGTCTTTTAATGGTAGAACTACTTAGTTTAGACAAAACATCTGTGCTTCAGTGGGATTCAGATGCACGATCCTAGTACGTAAGTGGCCTAAGACTTACGTATTTTAGAATGTGTGGCCAGCATGATGAACCTCCTCTGGTAGTACAGATAATTGGAAATTGACTGTAACTGTTAAACTTTTGATGATTATCAAACCAAAACAGAGCTCAAAATGGTGATTTGACTTTTTATTTCATATGTACATCACACTGAGTACACTTATGTTTTGTTGTGGACATTCTAGCATGTAGCTCCTGGCCAAGCAGCTATCCCAACATTATCAGGACCAAATCCACATGTCAGGCCTGCGCTCCCATATGGTAGATTTGTCACTCTCAGATCAAAGTCTGCACTGACAAATAAGCCACTTGCTTGATACATGTTCCAAACTGTTGGCTCCCGAGCCATCCCGGGCCGACTGGGACGAGGATTGTACATCTGCAAAGTAGAATTACTTGAATTGTTTTTCTTCGTGTGATTGTTAGGAGAGGGTATTCGTTGTATGTGTGATAATTTTAATCTACAGAACAATATCTAAAATACAATAAAAGAATTGCATTATAATATCATAAACAATATTAATTTATTTTTAATTTTCTATCTAATTTTAAGGATAGTCTTAAGGCATTGGCTATGGCAGACCTTTGTAATTTACACAAAAAATGTCTGATTTATGGAACATACAAATTTATAGCTGAACTCCATGGCTACAATTTCACTGTACTTTCTTTCATGTTCAGTAGTAGCAGGCAGTCAGTTGTAATTTTGGTTATTCCGTATCATGTTTGTGTTATCTCTGGCCTTGAAGGAAATGGATATTTTTATAGGAAGTATGTTTTTATGATGGTTGCAAGTGAAATACTGGAAGCCAAGTTGAAAACAGCTATGAACAAATATATTCATCATGAATTGCACAGTTTGAATTAAACACTAGAATCTCATAACCCAAGTTTTGCTTAGAACTGGAAGAATCAGAGATGTTTGCCTTCTTTCAACCCTTATTCTATTTCTAACTTATCTGGTAATGGAATTATCATAAGACCTGTTTTGTAATATTCAGACTTATTTTATTGTAATTTTTATGCCATAAGCATTTAATACTTACATAATTTCTACAGCGAATCTTTGCCAGTATACAAGCTGTTGTCTCGATATAACGTTTTGCTTCATCTGCTTCTCCACTGTCATTCACAGCATTGCCTTGCACTTCTTCAATACACATATTAATCTGAAATTCACATTCATTTGACATACATAAAGTAAAATTCTATCACATTTATAAATATATAAATGGAGTGCAGTTTATACCAAATGGAAATATATGAGAACAACTTCTCTTCCATTGTGTAAGAAAATAGAAAAGAAAAATGTGCTGTAAACTGTTTTGCATCTGTACTCTAGCCACTGTCAATGCATAGTCTCATGAAATCTTGAAGTTCTTGTCCTTGATTTGTAAATTTAACCAAATCATAATCTGCGTTCGTTTTAAGTATTAATTCTGTCAACAAGTCCAATCCTGTTTCTGTAAACTACCCCCAAAAAATATCATACATTGCTGATTTGTTAAAAGAATTTACATAATTCTTTATCAAATTTCTCAGTCACTGCTCATTACAATGATAAAATAAGTACAAGAAGATATATTTAATTTGTATTTATATATATTATCATATTTTTATTTGGTCACTGATTAATCAAAGTTCATTATAGACTCAACTGTTATAATTATTTGCTGTGTAGCTTTTTGTGGTATTGAAGTATTCTTAAAAGTTGGCTCTTTACTGTTGGGAGCTTTAAATATTTATTGCAAAAGCTTAATTTTTAACTTCACATGTAAATTGGGCTCACCTTTGTCAAAGTTATCTCAACTAAACTTTGGTAAAAGAGAGAACACTTCATTAAGACAATTTAGGAAGGTGGACTGAGATCCCATAACACCGCTCGTATTTGGCAGATTCTTGAAACATGGTAATGGAGCTTTGGGTTCAGTAAAGGGCCTGGAATTTCTTGACTAGTTAGCTTTTCAAGAGCTTTGCTCCATGGTTTTATTATTCACACACACAATGCTTTAGAAGGTTGTGTAATGACATTGTGACCTTAGAGAAGAAGTGTTTGTAAGCAGTGGATTATCTTTCATTTATAATTCAGCAACAGTTTCCTCTTTCATCTAGTCGAGAATGAGAACTACTTGAAGACTGAATCTTATTTGGCCTCTGCCCATCTGATAAAAAATACTGTGATACTGTGAAGGTCATATATCTTACCATGAAAACTTCAGATCATAATAACAGGTAAACAGGTCAACATTGAAGTATGGTGCAACATAAATTTCATGTTTATAAAACCATATCACAAAAACTTAGTCCAAAACAAGAAAAAAGATTTGACTTTTCACAGTTGTGAGTCTTCTGGGTTATAGTGCCATGTAGTCGGGTAGACATTTATGAAAGTTTCAGAGGGTGACTTGCTGGCTACATTATCAGGGCCCTGATGATGGCACTACAAACCAGAAGATAGCCATCTTAAAGAATTTTTCTTTCATATTCTCTACCTTAATTTGTAAACTTACCAAGTTTATTTTATCAACACGTTGAATACATTTATCAAAACTGCAAAAGGCGCTGTTGGCCACACAGTTTATGTTTACCATTTCCGTTTCATTTTGTGCAACGTCTTTCTGAAATGTGAAATTTAAAATGTAAAAATACTTACATAAACCATGTTGTATGAAAACTAAATCAGTTAAGTGAAACTTGTACAGAAATACTTCAGGTTTACTGCCACATATGGCTGTCGCAGCACAACCAGCAAATGACAGATTGCATCAGAGCGGCGCCCGATCAAAGTCTATGGAAGTCAACCAGAAGAGCCATTACTGAGCTAGGAGTTTAAAAGCACTGTTACATATTCCTGCTTAAGAGACAATATGTCGAGCCTTGTAAGGTTTATTTGTTGCAGGTCCTCGCAGAAGAGGACAAAGTGAGAAGTGTGGCTTTTTGTGAGGACTTCATCCAATTAATGGGGAAAAGATTGGTATTACGTAGATGTTTATTACATGACTCATATTGAATACATGAATTTGAAGTGTTTCCTCATATGTCTAAAGTTATGTTGTTGTTGTAGTTTGCAAATTGTAACCATCTTAATCATTCTGAGACGTCCAGTATACAAGTATCAGATTAACAGAATGTCATGTTATTTTAAACATTGAATGGTTTCTCTCCCTGTCAACCACAATATACTGAAATACTATAGACAACATCCATACTTACTGCAAGTTCTTCTGCACATGGCTGGTAAGCTGTTCCATCAAGGTATTTTGAGGCACATGAACTTAGATCATTTAAAAACTCTGCATCCTGAAACATATATGTATGATTTGTCATATTAAAAATGGGGACTTTTGAAAAGTAGCATTAGTTTGAGCATTGAACATCTGGATGTAAAACTTTAAATTCATTAATTACATTTTCATGAGTTAAATCTAGATGTTTTTAAGTTAGTTTATTCCATAGTTCTTATAGCGTATGCATATACAGACTCAAATAAATTCTGCTCGCAGTTATTAGAGTAAGGCTGTCAGAAATATATGTTTATCTGCATTATCAATGTATTAACAATTATTTCTGCATCCATCTTATCCAATTATTGTGAATAAGTGCAGTTGTCCGTCCCGCGCCGTAGCCGCATGGTCATGCTTTGGACCGGCAATACTGAATGCACGCTGGTTCGAGTCTCGGGGGAGAAGAAATTTTCTCATGAGCTTTCAACCGTGTATGGGACCAGTGCCAACCCAGCATCGTGAGGAAATTGGGGAGCTACAATGAGTAGCGTAATCCGGTCAGGAAAACTAGCAATGGCTGGGGGTTCGTCGTGCTGACCACACGTCACCCTATATCTGGTTGGATGATCGTTCACCTCTGCTTAGGCATGTGAACGTGAGACCAGCAGTCAAGCTAGTCGGCTTTGGCTCTCTAGCTGTTACGCCATGGATTTAATTTTAAGTGCAATTGTCCATGTAATGATCTTTAAATTTTAAAAATTATGTTATTCATTATCAGCTCGTCAGTGATACATTACAACACATTATAAAACAGTAAGAATGGCATTTGTTAATCAGAGTGGAGACACAATTATCACTGAGTGCCAGTTTATTTACATGGACTTAAAACAAGGTGAAAGTGTTAAGAGATCTTATGTGTGACTGAATTTATAACAGTAGAAGTTTTAATATTGTTCAATTTTAATTATGCAAGTATTTTGCAGTCCTGTTTTTATGAAGATAAAATACTTGAATTCTTTGTATCATATTTCAGCTTACCTGGGCTTGGGTAATAACACGAGAGAAGCACCCAAAGCATGCATCACTGTTTAATTTTTGATTGCCAGAAACTGTAGTACTCATAGTTGAACTGCACATAGAGTTTATTGTATCCATTTGTTCGGGTCTAAATAAAACACAAAACTGTTAAGCCAATTGACAATTCCATAGTTAGAAAACACTTATTATAACCACTAAAATTTTTAACATAATGAATTTTTATGGTTTTTCTATATTTTATTTGAAACACTGATTACTTAATAAAAACATGCTTTGTAATGAAAAAGATTATCTAGTTTATTAAAATAAAATCTTCTTAAATATTAAATTAAAAAAATTAAAAGACAAAAAAAAACATGATGAACAGATCTAATCCATGTTGGTCTTTTTGGTTGCAATGTGTGGACTTTGAGTATGTACCAACATTGACATCTTCAGTGTTGTGAGAACTTCTCATTTCATACAACAGAGTTCATGTTGCTAAGACAAATCCTGTGGTTATTTGTTCAAAATTGCAGTGAATTAAAATGTTGAATGAACACCGTGATGTTAAATATACACAATTTATAAACCACATTTCATGTTGGATATGAAATGTAATTGCATATTATAATGTACCTGATCTAATTACTTAGCAGAATAAATCAGTATTTAAAGAATTTTGTAATAAAGTTAACAGTTCTATAAATCATTGCTTGTAAGTTAAAAATTAAAGTTAATTCGGATTTTGTTATAAGCGTGTAAAATATGTGAGATACCAGTACCTGGACTGAAACGGATTCCTGTAGAAACCAGAACTGCATGGTTGTATCCCTTGATTCGATGCAGGGGGCATCACTTTCATGCAGACATGGAACTGTATAGAATTCAACAGTTGTTCAGTGTTGGCTCACCAAATACTCAGCTTTCTCATTTCTTCATACAAATTATGAATTACAGTTATGTGAATGTATGTGTGTGTGCACGTGCCTGCAACTTGCCCATGCCAAATGAGTCCACCACAAAATGGTGCTGTTTATTCAGTTTATTGTTGCAAAATGGGGAAATTATATCCCTATGGAAATACAGCTGACAAGGGACCCATGTTTATTGAATTTACTCTGAATTTGTAAGGGTAGTTGGTATCTAATTTGAATGAAACTTCTGGGTCACTTATTAAGTTACAATGTAAAGTCATATCAGTTAGCTATCTGTAATGTGAGAACATATGTTACTATTATCTATAAGAAGAAGACTTGGTTAGAATGTTGAATACTGTATGTGAATGAGTGTTCGATCTTTCTTTCCAGCTTGGAGGTTGGATGGATTAACAGCATATTATAACCAACTTTCGGCAATTATTCTTTCTAGTTTATCAGTTTAATAAATGAAAGTCAATAGAAGTTGGTAATTTTCCCCCTGAACGATACATATTGGCAATCACAAAATTCTCCCCTTTTTAAAATGCACAAAAGTACGTAATTTTATTCATCTCTGTAATGTGTTCTCTGATTCCTTCTTGGTAAACTCGTGTGGTTGGTAGTACTGTTGTTGATTGGTTCGAATTTGCTCGTAAATGGAGTGTAGTGCTGAAATTATCTTCTCTCTAAAAATATTCTTGTGCAGTGTTTTTGTTCATTGTGAGTGCCGATTTATTTCCCAGCCTATAATTCTTGGGAAGCAGAAAACGTAAGTTTATTTTTAAAAAAATGTGTATTTTCTAGCCTTGTTAATTCTGACTGTAGTGATTGCAAATGACGTACCGATTTCTCGGTACAGAATTATTTAAATTATTAATGCTACGAAAACAGTCCAATATCACATGAACACATTAAGTTAATTTAGAAATCTATTAGTATTTACATTACAGTCCACTTGCTAGAATAAAGTACTACTTTCTCATTTCTTGGTTAATGAGCTAATTTGTAAAATTGGCCATTACACTTCAACTGCGTAACTTTACCCAAAATCACTCGATGACTATTTGCAGTCTTAATTGTAAGACTGTATACTTGTAAACGTGTAATTTCCAAGATGGACGTACATGGGTGTATAAGACGTGATCGACTTCAAGTTGGAGAGGGCGTATCCAACTCCTTATAGTAGGCATGTACTTGGCAATGTAATGATGTAACAAAGTCGAATGTAACTGCAGAAGGTCTTCCCGTTTTACATGTGTTCCAGTTCTGAATATTCAACATTAATTACTAATTCCACTGTAAAATGGGGCCAACTATTAGGCTACTCATGTTTGTCACAAAACTTTCAGGTGCAACGATTGTCTTATTTATAGCACGATAAGTAACGTAGGTCTATATTCCTCCATCGGGTACTTACTGACTGACGATGTTAAGCATATCGTGTAAGTCTTCTCTTTAGTTGGAATCGGAGTTCATTCCTCGGGGGGGTTGCGTGATGCTTAGTTACGAACCAGGAACAACGTTACGTTGTTCGTTTGGATTTCGACGCCGTGTTGATCCACATGTAGATACAGACGTTTCGGAGAAACGTAAAGCATTTTTCTCCGAAACGTCGGTATGCATCAACACGAATTTGTAAGTGGTTTTACTTACGTTTGCAAAATGGAGCAGAAGTAGCACTACGAATGTGTTGTAGATACGATCCATGGTGTTAGCTAGGAACAAATCTAAAACGAATATGAAGTGTAACTAGAATGGCCGACGTATTTTATACGGTACAGATTCTTCCGGCCTTGTTCGAGTTTTTATGCAAATTGCGTTATGTTAGACTGAATATGTGATGATGACTTCCGGTGTATCCCCCCCCCCCTCATTTCCCTCCCCAAGTTTTTAGAGGAAAAAATGGATTAAAATGTTAAAATGTGGTATCAGTGTTCCTATCATTGTGCCAGTTTTCATTGAGCTGAAGTAGATGGATGGTTTATTTGTAATCATTTGATTTAAAATCGCAGAATTTTGTTGTTAGTGGCTAGCAAAAGAGGAAATGGGAATTTTCGATGGAAAGCTCTAAAAGCAATTTGAATATACATCCGAAAGACGAAATGACTTTCGGAAATGCCAAATATTCGTAGATTGAAATTGAGTTTTAATTCTAGATGGTCCGCTAGATATCGCAGTGTTTGAGATTTGCAAGCCAAAATTCCACCTGAGTCATCCGTTTGAACGACTTTTTACATTTCTTTTTTCCTTGTACGTGGATTTCGTATCGCTGTAGCCTTGAGCTTCGTTTGTTTCTCCCTGATATTTCATCAAGTTTTCCTGGAGACGAATGACGCAGTGGCTAAAGGAAGTGCTTTCCTGAGGAGTTTAAAACGATCGGAGCGCTCTCTCTGGTAGCGAACGTACGTTGAGTAACGCTTCGGTTCGAGTCTCGGTAAGACATTGGCTGTGGTTTTACGTGATTTTACTCGCTGTCCCCATCTAATAAATAGGCCTCTTAGCTTTATTCCTAATTATTTCATAAATACAACGTCCACATGCATCCAAATTGCGCGATATTTCTTTTTTGTATGTTTCTACGAAGTGACCGTGATGGAGTGGTGATAAATTATGAATAGGTGCGAAGTAATTTGTTTATTTGAAGGCACTTACAGCAACAGACGAAACGCTGTGTTGATGCAGACCACACATTTCTCATGTAAACAAACGAGGAAGTTTGTGGTAATGTAACCAGCTGGTCAGATCTGTCGCTCAACTCACGTTTAGTGATTTATGACTATGGAGCAATGGTGAAATTATTATCGGCAAGGAAGACGGATGCATTGTGCCTTTATGTCATCGTCCTCCACATAGACTGATCATAGACAAACCCTTGTATGAACAGTGAAAAATGTGGTTTATTTACTTGGTTGTTTAACGACTGTCATTTGCAGATATCGTTTAGTTTCGGGTGAGATTACAGGTTGATTATGCCAATAGACTGTCTGGAGAGGATTGAGTTAGGTTTCGTGGCCTTCTTTCCCGGAGGAACTGAGGAAATCCTCAGCTAGGTATGTCCGGTTACAGGTGAGATTAGAAGCGGCTAACATTAGCCGGAGGAACTGAGGAAATCCTCAGCTAAGACTTCCGGTTAAAGCTGAGATTCGAAGCGGGTAACATTATGACACATTACGATGCTGTTCTTTCTGAGTTTTTGGCAACGTGTCTCCATCTTCAGCGCTGAAGATGGTGACAGCATGTTCCTACGATGAGTCTACACGGTGTCAAAACCCAGAACAACAACACCATAATCTTTACCGCCGTGAAAACGTCAAATCCAATGTTTTTCCCGTACAAAATTCAGCTGCGTTACAATCTGAGCTCAGGTTTTCGACGACAGAGCCGGATGCAGTCGTGTGCGGTGACTCCAATGTACGCCAGTTAACCGTGGACTGTGGCATTGACGTGGGGATTCCACCCTGCGTGACAGAGCTGAAGTGAGTCCATGTCCGATGTATCAATGCGAATAATGAAAAGGAAATCCTACAAAAACAATTCCTTGTGCCAACTAAATAGATGTAGGATGTAAATTGAGTTCACACATGATGGAAGTACAGCATTTTGAATGCTGATATATCAACTACAGCTTATGCTTATGAGTGTTTTGTGCAGATGGCTTGTTTGTAGTGGTTCACTGCCGATATGAATCATTTAGTGAATCATCTTGTGCACAGT